CCCCCGTCCCGCCAACACCCACCCCCCCCCCCCCCCCAAACCCCCCACGAAAGATTTAGTTCCCCAAAACGGTCTCAAAAGCACATCATTTGATGCAGTTGTTGAGGCTGATTCCGAATATCAGCTTATTTTGGTTTGAAAGTTATGTTCTGATGCCGAGAGTCTCAAAAAACTGAAAAAATCCTATCGGATTGCCACCTTCTTAATAATATTTTTGAAAAGAAAAACTAAATCTGTAACTTTGTTCTGTGTTTCAAAGTAGTTCGAATGACGTAAAAATGAAGGTTCTGTCGTTCAATATGAGGTCGCTGATAGGTCTGTAATCGGAGGATGTCAAAATCAAAGACCTCTGAAGTTTGATCAAAGTTCGAACACTTCTCGTAGCTCTGGAACCTCGAAATGTACTTCTCTATACGCACTTTCCTGATCTGCTGATTACGAAAAACATCTTTCAAAGGTTCGAGGTCCATGTGGAGCTGAGATGTCCAACGTTTTTCTCAAGGTAGCGAAATTTCGAAACAAGGACAGCTTTCAAGTTTTTGAATATTTTCCTAGAGCAAGTGCGCTGGATATTTTTTAAATAAGATATTCGTGATCAGCGCAAAATTCTGCGTTGAATGGTGTACATTTAAAGCAAAAATAATATAGTGCTTCCTCTTTGAATTTGGAAGCCCTTACCTTAGAAATCTTTTAAACTCCGAAGGGTTTTTGGATTATATTGAGTATATCTCCTTTTTCGCACGAAATTTTTGTTTTGGTAATTGTAGTGAACAGTCGGTTTCTGATCGCCGCTAGAATTGCTATTCTTGTATCTTTTTCTTTATAGGAATAATATCAAACAACTGGACTAACGCATCCGGTATTCGATCTCACGAAAACTTTCATTCTTCTTATTTTGTATTGATTTGTTTTTTCTTATTTTTAAAGTGTCAAGCGCGTCATGCGTAACACCACTACTAAACGACAATTACACAGTACTATTGTTATCATTGATGGATTCTCCTACATTCAACTACACTTATTATAGTTATACATATCGAGCAACTTCAAATTTGACAACTTTGACATTTGCATTTCGACAAGATCCAAGTTATTGGTGCTTAGATGATATTTCGGTAATGAAATATAATACTAGCAATGGTAGCGACCTGATAAGTAATGGGGGTTTCGAAAGAGGCAGTACAATAAACTATACTCTCTGTACACCACGTGGTTCATCAGTATCTGGTACAGTTAGCACACGTTGTCCTCGCTCTGGTAATTATAGTTATATAGATGGAAGTTATGCTCCCGGTGATTTCTTAAGTCAAACGTTTTCGACGATTCCACAGCATCAATATCAAATTCGGTTTTGGTTGAGTAATTTGGGTGCATCTCCAAATTCAATTAATGTCACAATAAGTTCCACCATTGTTTCAGATAGTAATGTTTTTCAATAGTGAGAAAGGTGCATGTATGTTAGTGTTTTTTTTATTTTATTTTTCTTTAGCTGCTGTTCTTCAGATAACAACACAACAACCCGCAGGATCAGGTAATCAAAATGGAAATCTTCTATTTCTCGTTTTCGTACGTGGAATTTTGCTTTTTGTGCCTTAAGATGGCTGAATAAGCCGGCAAAAGGAGAGTCAGAGTGTATTTGCAAAAACAAATTTTTGATCCAAAAAATAACATATTTTTTCAATTCTGAGTGCACTTTGAAGATCTTCATAATTATTTGCAGTACATATTCTAATGTTTTTTTATTAAAAATTAATTTGATAGACTATTAAACTTTCTATATCCCTTTAGTATTTCAGATAAAGGGCATCTCTAGATAAGTAGGTGTATCTGCCACACTACGATTTTATATTCTGAAGACATAGTTAAACAGAAGTGACGCTGGCGAACACGAATATGATGTCAGAAACGTTTTGAACTCCTTAGAAAAAGCACATGAGGAAAAAAATATATTTTCCAGAATTATTTCCTGAATATGAACTATCGATTGATGAGATCATTTGAAAAAACTGGTTTTCTCGTTTTTCTTACTTTTTGAAATATGACATCAGCGTCGTAATCAGCGTAAAAAACTGAGTTTTGGTTCTTCAAGCAGAAAAAACAACGCCGTTTCAGTGAAGTTTTTTATTTCAAAACAGAGAAATTTATAGAAATTTTCTGTATGGCCACTCTTGTTTACATTCGGTCTACATACGATAAAAATTCTAGATGGTGTCAGTACTTTGCAGAAAAGGGCTCTTAACACATCAAATTATTTAGTCATCCTACTCAGTTTTTTGTTTTTATATGGGTTTAGGACTAACAACTCAAGGTAAGATTATTTACAGGTTTGATTTGATTTACTTTTAAATGAGCAAAAAGATGTCTGTACTTGTATAACAGCTACAGACACCAACTGCACAACACCATCGACGATAAATTCAACAACATTATTATCACTCAACAACTCATCAGCATCTAATTATACCAATTATCAATGTACATACCGTGCTACATCGAATCAAACAATACTAATGTTTGCTCTTCGACAAGATCCGAATTATTGGTGTTTAGATGATATATTAGTAACAACAAACAATTCTAATAATACTAATTTATTAATAAATGGTGATTTTGAAACTGGTAATCTACAAGGTTATTCTATGTGTAATCCAATTAGTCGCATAACATCTGGTATTGTTGTTACTAATCAACCACATTCAGGTACATATAATCTTTTTGATGGCAGTTATTTAAATCCAGATTATTTGTGGCAAATATTTTCAACTCAACAACAGCAACAATATCAAATTAGTTTTTGGCTTTTAAATAGTGGTTCATCACCTAGTTCTATTACAGTCACGATTGGTCCATACATCAATCTAAAGGGTAACATTTTGGTTTCTTTCATAACTATCACATCTTAATACATCTAACTTCTGTTTTTTTAGCGATGGCTATTAAAACGAGTTCTACTAATAGTCCAGTAACGACACAACAATTTACTACTAGAGGTAAAGTAGAGATTTCAAATACATTTTTTAACACTTTTGAGTTGTATCACTATTTTCATAAGCTTCGCTATCAACGTCATCAAGAACAAATTTGACGACTATACAACCCAATACGTCAGCTAATAATGGCATAACAACAGCAAGTAATTATATAGGAAATAGATAGATAATATAAAATTATTTTTTGTTCTATCCATTCTTAGCACAGACATCCTTAAAAATAAATTTAACAACTATCGCTGATCAACGGGTAACACAAGGTAATAATATGGGAATGTTTTTCTGGTTCTTTCTTTTTCGATTTTGAGCTAGTGAGTGAATGCAAAATATTTTTTTAAATAGAAACTTTTACGTTTCGAATCAAACAAGTTAGATTTAAATTTTGTTATACGGGTTTTGCAAGAACAAGTTTTAGACTTTAAGAGTCTTTTTTACGGTTTACTTTGACAGCAAAAATTTTTTCAAAAAATTACGGGAAAAAAACGCCCGTAAATTGTTTGGGTCTACAGACTAATGTTAAGAGGAAAAATATTAAATGACTAATATTAAAAATCAATTAAATACTTGTCCATCTTATTTCAAGATTTTTCCTTTATTTTAAAATAATTAAATATTTTTCTATTCAATTTTTTTCATTGGACAGACTGGTTCGAGACAACATTATTTGCTCACCGGTTCGGCTTTATAGAACGAGACAAAAACTTTTGTGTTCGTGCTCGGGCTTACCGTCTCGGGAAAACAGAAAACTTTGTGACACAGGACTCTACTGTGAAGTATAACTTGCAGTATCACCTTCCGCGGATAACATTCTTTCTTTCAATAAGTCTTTTGAGAGGGACAATCACTTTACAGATCGTTGGTCTACTATCGGTGTCGATCCACTAAGCCGGTGAAAAATAAATATTTTTCATCATCCCTTTAAAACAATCAGAAATAACATTAAACTTGCCACTAAGGGAAAAAAGTAAATTGCTGTTGTTGTTTATATTTTTAGTGTCAACAGGAACAAGTAAACTGATAACAACAACATCTAAGACAACAAACACGAGTATGTATGAAATATTGCTAAAAAGTTTAATGCTTCTAAAGATTTCACGCAATGTGATATCGACTTAAATTTGTTTCAGGTACAACTTCATATACAACAACAACAACATCACCAACTTGTAAGATCATTTTTTCAGCTATAAAGTTTTAGTTTGAACAACAGTACGAAAACTTAGTAGCCTTCGTGTTCTTCGTCTTTTCTTCCCTGTACAGGATATAATAGCCGACGTTTATAGCAGCCAATTTTTTAACCAAACTAATTTCTGCTTTGAAAGCGATAAAGTGAACCTAAGCTCAAAAACTACCTTTGTTTTCGTCTGATATCGTTCACCCTGACTAACTCTGAAACACTTTCCCGACAGTCTCTTTTAAAGCTCGTTTTAGTGTATGTTAAAGAGTATTTCGGTTCCAGAAAATGCAATTCTCAGATCCTGATCAAAATCAATCCCAGTATAGATGCCCACTGACGTTTAAAATAAATTAAATAAATGACTCCAAACTTAAGAAAGCATCCGCGAGTGCGACAACATTTTAACTATAATTGATAGGAGATAAAAAACTTTTTATATGATCCGATAGCTCCAGTCAAGGAACCCTTAATCTAAAATATTTTGGTTCCAAAATGTGTCCTTTTACGTCTTAGATAGACTATGCAGGAATTGTGATCATTCAGTTGTTCTGTTTTCATTCAATAACTGTATATATCGCGGTGCTCCAGGTGCCGGTCGAGTTATTTATAACTTTAAGGTTGTCATTACTGGATATTACTGTTATAACATTTTTTATAAATTAAATTAAGAAATTAAGATTAATTAAGAAGCGCACAAGATACATCGAAACAGGGATGTCAGAACTCGCTGTTCTACACTCTTAGACTCTATTTTAATAGTAAAGTTATTAAACTTCGTGAGCGTGACAAATTCTGGTCCACTGGAAACTTAAGTTAGGGCGGAGATTTCACCTGAAATATTTGGAAAAACCTGAAAACGACCTTACGTTTTGGCAGAAAACCTGAAATTTCCAAAACGCTTTAGACTGAAAACGATTTTCCTCGATTTCTACTGAAATGAAAACTATTTCTGTTAAAAATCTCATTAGATAAAGCTTTTAAAGTTATCCAGAAATCCAGGCTTTTAAACCTTAGAGTCTAAAATTGAGTGAGTTACCGATTTTATATGAAAAGCCCTATACAAAAAGTCGAAAAAACAGACTTTTGTCATATTCTAATTTTTTCTTGTTCTATTTCCTATTTTAAAAATTCGAGTTACACATGAACCGAACGAGTACAAAAAACTGAACAAGATAGGCTAGTTTTAGTAGCATATCATATCCTTAAAGAACAGAATAGCAGAGTATCATAAACACTTTTTACAAAAGAACTGCTAAATGTGTCGAATGAAATTGTTTCTTGGCCTCCTGACTTTTTTTGGAAAAAATCTGAAAAATTTTACGCGCTTACCTGAAAAAATTCTGTTGAGCTCAACTGATTTTTTAGAGATCTTCTAGAAAACCGGCCTTTCGAATGCTTTCGGAAAATGGTTTTGCTTATGAAAACATACACTAATCTGTTCTCTTTCGACTGTTAAATACCGAAACTCTCTATCTTTCATCGTCTTCCAGTTATTTAGAAAAACAATCAGCGATCTTATATTTTGGCGTGTCTGAAAATTGAGATATTAATTAAGATAGTCAGTACTCATTGATAAAGTAATTAGCTAAGATGATTCTACGTAGGTATGCACCAGTTCCAGTTTTTAACTGTGAGAATTGGAACTGGTACATACCTAGTTCTACATTTATCTTGGAGAAAATCTTTAGTTGTATACGTGGTAAAAGTTTAGATGAGTTGTAAATAATAATAAATAACGTGAAGCGCATGGGTTAACGCAATCCATTGACTGCAAGTCGAACGAATATGCTGTCGGAAATATTATTCATTTTATTGTAATTCGATCTTGTTACCACAGAACGAGAGCGTACCACAATTTTAGTAAAAACACTATTGTAACAGCAGCTATTAATAGTATCTCTAAAAGAGTAGTTCCCGATCGATAACAAGGATAAATCTATCCGTTCGGCCACTTTAGTTATCTTATTTTAAGTTTTTTCACTATCTTTCTCTTCGTTCAATAAGTGCTATGTGGATAACATAAATAGAAAACTGAAATAGAATATTTTTAGGTCATGGTATTACTATCCTAGATTTTCGATCTGTCTCTTTGTTCTCTTGACTTTAGCCTAGGGTATTGTAGAATGATTGCTTCTCTGTGTGTATGAGTCTGAAATACGGAAAAACGGCTGTCAGATATATCATGGATAAGCCAACCGACAATGCTCACGCGTCCTTTCGATCCGCGTTCATAGCCCGAATAGGTGTAAATGCACTTCTCTGATTAAGCAGAAAACGCACACGAACGCACTCAGTTGGATGTATGTCCGTCACACTCATTAGTGATTCTGTGTATATACGTCCGTCACACTGATTAGTCACTATGTAGAAAAGAAAATTAATTTTTTCGAAACAGGTAACAAAAACCAAGGAAATGCACTCGTATTTTGCAGTTTTTGCCGTCAAACTTCCATTTTTCGCAAAATTAGTCTTCAAATCAAATCATCGCGGTCAATAGACGACAAAAGTTGCAAAATACCAGTACATTTCCTTGGTTTTTAGTACCTGTTACGAAAAAAATTAATTTTTCCAACAGCTAAACAATATTTTCCAAAATCCACTGGTAACTTTTTTCATGCCGTTATGGTGAATGTAACCATATAGAAATATCTCGTTCATCTCTACTTTAAAAGGAGTTGATTCCTTTGGAACCCACCCCGGGCAACAAACACATATATTCTGATTCAGCTCCATGAACTCTGTCGATCCATGTACAAATATCGAAAACATAAAATGTGCTCAAGTTTTGAATTTCCGGCACCTTATCCAATCTGGCTTTCGCAAGTGGCACAGCGTAGTAACACAACTCATTGTGTTAGTTCACAACGGTCATAGCGATTTACGGAGTAAAAAAGGCATAAAAGATGCCCTAGATGGTGTTGTAGCGTTCTCAGACTATAACACACTTTTATACAAACTTGAGAAAAAAGGAATAAGAGGCTAACTTGTGCAACGCTTTGCATTGTATCACGAGATTTTTTGCTGACGATACAGTTTTCTACTCTTCTCATCAAGACATACATGCTCTTGTAGCCAGTCTTAACAATGATCTGTTCAAAGTTCAAACCTGATGTGCAAATTAGCAACTATCATTGAACGTGCATAACTAAGAATGTATGCTGTTTATTAGAAAAATGAATAACAACGTCGATGGTATTGTTCTTTACCCAATTAACTACAGTTTGTAATTGAGCGTACACATATAGGAATAATAATCTATAATGATCTTTCTTGGAAATCAGACATAGAACATGTCATTAATAAATGTGAGAAAGTGGTAAACTTGCTCAAAATTCACAGACATCGTTACAAAAACAAGTGTACACTTGTTTTTTATATCGAGTGCATACTAGATCAAATATAAAAAATCCTTGTTTCTGCGTACAGTTAATTATGCAGATTGTATCTCGTAGTACATATGCTTCTCACCTAAAATACTGATCTGCGTTGCAATATAAAGCAGCCCTTCACGTGAGTCCTTACATCCTGCCAGCGCTTATCGAATTCTTCAAACACCAGCGAGATATGCACCACTTACGGAATAGTAGTTCCGACTGTTTTTTGAGATATCCAGTAAAATTGTTATAACGTGGTTGCCAAGAGTTGCTCAGACTTGCGGAACATCTCATTTTGTAGACAAAATTATGTTCCATATGTTTGCATGGAAGATAAACTTAGAATTTGAACAAGAGAAGCGTTTTTAACGAATCACTGAAGTGGCACGATTAGTTATGTAACAGACGACCACTTATTACGTACAGTTACGGCGCTTAAGAATGGTCATATTTTTGTCACAATTAATTTTAAACATTTTTGTTCCAACAAATAGTTAAAATAAACAGTTTTCTACAATATGAGACGTTCCACAAGTGTGAGAGATCCTTAATAACCGCATTATAATAATTTTACCGGATACCCCAATATTAGTTATGTAACTGGTACATGTCTATATCTGATACAAAGGAAGTTGGCCGTTCCAGATCGAATCTCTCTGAGAAATAAAATTATTCACCGGATCAGCTCGTGTTTCCTAGAAGTGTGTGCAGTGTAATGAGTTTCCTGAAGTTTAATCCAATTCAAAAACATATTAAAATATTTCTCTCTGTGTATTGTATATATGCTACGTATACAATTGTTCCTGTGCCGAGATATAGGTTTTCTCAACCCCAAAACCCGTAGTTTGTCAGGTCTTTTCTCACAGTCTAGGACACACACTTTAAGAAAAAATTGGTCTTATTTGAAATCACTACAGCGAGTTGCGTCGAAGGAAGTATAGCCCATAAGTTTTGGATTAAAAAACTATCTATTAAAATGGTTTTCCATGATACAGCAAGAATTTGAAGCTGTGGTTCGAACACAGTACCTTTGAAGTACGTGACGAACAACATAACCACCAAGCCCCCCATGCTACCAAAAACAAAAGGCACAGAGACGGCTAAGAAATGATAATTATTCATGAAAATATGGTTTTGAAAGGAAAAAGTTCTGATGTCCGCAGGCTATTAGAAAAATCCCAACTGTGCCCCAGTCTCAAATTCAGTTACTTTTCGTCTGCTTTTCTCCACATGTTGAACTTACAGTTGTCTTACAGACCACGAGTTTCATACGAAAATGGAACTTCCGACTTTCTTGACCCGTCTAACCTCAATTTCTTTCTTGAAAATTTATATTTTCACATAATTTTTTCCTTCAATTTCTTTTACTATTATAAGCTTATTCCACGTCTTGTACAATTCCATCATGGAAGGGTAACAATAACGATACAATACTTTTGCTGTCACTTATTGATTCACCGCCATTCAATTATACTTATTATCAATACACTTATCGTGCCACATCAAATCTTACAACTCTGACATTTGCTTTCCGCCAAGATCCAAGTTATTGGTGTTTGGATGATATTTCGGTGATCATGTCTAATAGTAGCAATAATGTGAATATAATAAGTAACGGTGGCTTTGAAAGTGGTAGCTTAGAAAATTATACAATCTGTAATCCATCTGGTACACAACCATCTGGTAGAAGTACGCAAACATATGCTTATTCTGGTAATTATAGTTATGTAGATGGAAGTTATGCATCAGGTGATTACTTAACTCAAACGTTTATAACTGTTCGTCAAAAACAATATCGAATTGGATTTTGGTTGAAAAATTCGGGCTATTCTCCAAATTCTGTTAATGTTACAATAAGTCCTTTCAACGGTAAATTAAATAATGTTTTTTTATACATTAATTTTCATGTGTATTTAATGTTTTTTCTCAGCTTCAAGAACGACTACTCTTGCAACGACTCATATAATAGCAACTAATACAAGTAACGTTTAATGAGGATAATTCGTGTTTCGAAATGCATTTTTATAAACTATTATTTTCCTTATTTTACAGCTTTTGCATCAACATCGAGGGTAATGACTGTGACTTCGATGATTAACCAAATGACAACTAATGGTAAGTAACATACGAAGGATCTGTGAAGAAGTAACTTAAATTTACTTCTAAAATCAGGCTGATTTCTGTTGTAAAAGAGCAACTGTTTGCTGGCTTCTTCTCGACAAACTTTTTAAGTAACACCAAATAACTCAATTCTATAAAATACTTAATGAACATACACCTGCATATTTAACACAACTAATTGCCTATAACTAATCGCTTATTGCTCAAAAGCATTCGAGCACTGTACATGAGGATATTAAATTCCTCAAATTTCGACTTTAAGCAACACTTTTGAAATACATTTATATCATCAGTGATCAGAGAATGGAATAGTCTTCCATCTATTCTCAATTATTGTATAAAACTTGTTTTTTTTTAAGTATGCCGTGGTCTACTTGTGACGTTTGACAATGTTCCAAATTACATTGAACCTTACCTTCCAATTCCTGATGGCTACTCTAATTTAAACTGGACAAATGTGTATGTTTTAAATGCTACAACATCATTATACAATACAAGTGGCTACTATACGGCATTATCAAGTGGTAAATTTGTTGCATTCAACGCATATGGAAATCCAATGTCAATTTATCGAACAAATGGTGTGTTTAATGTGACGTCATTTGTTGCTAGTGCTGTTTTACCAGATAATTTGCAGTTAACTTTAATTGGTCGACGTTCATCAACAGTGATATACCGAATAAATGTAACATTAAGAATAAGTACAGCATTTGTGATTGTATTGAACTGGCTCAGTATTGATAATATGACATTTCAAATGTCGAGTTCCAGTTATCTTGCTATTGATAATTTATGTTTAAGCACGTAAGTTGAATTATACGTTTTCTTTAAAATTAACTACGTTTCAGGCATCATCACTCTTTTTTTTCATAGTATTACTACGACTTCAACAACAACACGTAAGTGTTACAGTTAAATACGCAATTGTTCAGCGGAACTGTATTGAGAATTAGGATGCTGTACAAGCAACAGATACCCGTTTGTCGCAGCTCTTTCTAGTCCGAAAATTCTAATAATTTTGTGTGACTTCGTCATTTCAGCTATGTCTTCTTCTGATTTTACGTTCGCTAAACTGTGTATCTTCTGGATTCATGTGAACAAGCTGCTCGTGTTTTCGAGTAGACACTTCACTATATGATACTCACATATTTTAACGAATTTGTGGTTATTTTTCTGGCAACTTTTACGTATTTACGATTAAAAAGCTACTTTCTAGATATCTTCCCTCGGATACGCAACTTTTTCGGATATCCAGTGGGATTCAGGTATTTAGCGTGTTTTCGGATATTTTGTCGACTTGTAAGTGCTTCAAGTATAAAATAGCTTCCAGGGTACATTTTCGAGTAATGAGTTGGTTTCGAGGTATTCTACAATGGTAAGTAGTTTTTGGATCCTTCCTCTCCCTCCTCCCCTGGATGACACAACCTCTTAAAGTGACGGTCAAAACATTCATATACTCCAGCCTAGAGCCAAGATAAATTTCTTTTTTAAAAAAATTTCATCCATGTTCTTTAAATTTCAATAATATATTAAACTTTTATGTCAGTTTAGAACTATTTTTTTTAAGACTCGACGTCTCAATATTAGAAGTTCCACCTTGTAGCACTTTTACGTGCTACCCTGCTAAGGTTTTCTTTCTCCTTCACTCTTTTCGAGGATCCGAAAAAACTATTAAATGATTATGTAACAAACAGCAGTTCTCAGCTGATCAAATTTCTCAACCAAATAGAAAGGAAACATAGTTGCTGATAATTAGCGACAGTGTTGAGACTACTGTAGTACAATGTCGCTGCTTTAAAAAATATTATTTTTATAGCAGCATCAACAACATCACCCCGAAATAGTTTACCGTCACAATGTTCAACCTATAATATAATCAATGATTCGACACGCAGTGTTAACTATGTGGGAACAGGAGGTGCTTGTGATAGTAGTATATTTAACAGTACACCAATATGGGTTAGATTTATTGGTTCTGGTGGAACAAAATTGCCGACTTCACCACCTAATATCTATCATTGTGGAACTGATGCACCTGGATGGGTAAACAGTGTCTATCCGTCAATAAGCGCTTCAACAACATATTCAGCTAAAGTCTGTTATTATTGGAATAATGATACATGTAAATGGTCAAATTTAATACAAATAACAAGTTGTTATACATTTTATGTATTTCAATTAATTGCACCATCAACATGTAATTTACGTTATTGCATAACAACTTAATCGCAAACAAAAACAGAACTTTTAAATAGCAATATAATTCTGATATTATTTTTGTTTTTCATTTACTTATTGTATCTGTTTGAATTCATATTTAACAAAATATATTTTGGACTATGTGAGGAATATTGGAAGTGCAAAAAGAAAACTTTAGTTCCTCCTATTATAACACCTTCTTTTCCTTGGCAGAAGTTTTACAAAAATGTCATCAATAGCGATAATATTTTTGACGGACGTGCATGTGCACCAAATTAATTCGATGAAAGAGACTATTCACTCAAAAAAACATCAGAGCGAGTTGAAAACTTCAGGATGTACACTATTTAACCTATTCTATATCTTACTGATAAGAAATCCGCAAAAGCTAATTTACAAAATCCTATTAGTTTTCGAAAGTTAATTTCGAAAGTTAATTAATTTCTACAAAACGTTTGATCAAAACATGCTTTTTCAACTGAAAACTCTCATAATGTCGCTAGTTTTGTTCATTTAACATAATTATACCATCGAGAAAGCTGACAAATCCTTTCGAAAAAGCCTTGGATTTTATAAATTAGCTTTTACGGATTTCGTATCAGTCATATATAAAATAGACTAAATATTGTACATTGTGAAGTTTTCAACTCGCTCGGCGGTTTTTCGAGTGAGTAGTGAATTTTTAACACTAATAAGTTTGATTATATTTAGAAAGAAAACTAATATTTTGCATGTTTTGATATTTTACTTCTGATCATTCAACCTAAATGAACTCGCACAAAACTATGGATTTTTGAAAAAAACAAATTTTGAAGATAAACATTTTTTACAGCTGAATTAAGAAATCGTTAATAAATCAACACGATGTCTGAGACGCCGCTGATTTGAAATCGACCAAATTTTAAAGTTTTTTGTTTTAAGTCATTTCGAAGCCTTAAATCAGGCTTGAAAACAGAATATACAAAACTATATTTTAAAATTCCGGACCAAAAAATGTTTTTCCTAGTTTTTCCCTATTTATAGCGTTATAACTCATTAGACAATGCATATCGTATAGCAACGAACCAATATCTAACAGATTACAATGCATTATTCTGTTCTATCTCATTGCTATGAGATGAGAAAACGGAATTCGGTGTAACACGATAGGTATTAATGCGTTAGAACGAGTTAGACAATATGTAAAACGAAAATATATGATTTTCTCGTAAAGGACACATTTCCGTAAAATTCTGAGACTGTCAATCGATTCCTCTCGAAAAGTTGGTCCCGGAAAAACTTCAACTATATCAGACTTATACGTTACTGACTTGAGACTTAGGACATAAACTCCCACAGCACACTTATGACCACTGTCACGTACAGCGTTACAGAGTCTGAACAGTTAGTTAATGCCATAAATTTATAACGTTATAATGTGTTAGATATTTTAGCGGTATAATGCATTAACTTGTAATGCGTTGCGACGCGTTACAAATTAATGCGTTATAATGCGATAGGAATTTGGTAACGCCTTATAACAATATACAAAATTATTAACGCGCTTGTCGAATTTATAGCGTTGTAAAAATGCATTATAACACTATAATTTCAATTTCTGGGCAGTTTTTTCACGTAACGTGTTACAATGCATTGAAGATGTGTTTTTTCTAAATTTACCGCGTTATAACACAGCACAAAACCTAACACACATTACAAGGCATTATGACATACCTAACGCATTATAATGTAATAAATACGAAAAAAAGATCCTGTGGGATTGTATATTGCGAATATCCTTGGATATATATTGTGTTGATTAAGATGTATGATGTTTGTGGAATATATATCTATAGATGAATGTGTATGTTGTAACTAGACATGCACCGAGACGAGAAGTATCAAGGAGCCTCGATACTGTAGTCTCGAGTCTCGAAAGTCTCGAGTCTCGAAAGTCTCGAGTCTCGGACGTTTCGATATGACTGAAGTTTTTTTTGTAGCTACTCTGATTACTTGTATAGGATCCTCTCATTTGCTGAGAAAATCGAGGAACCTGTTTTGTGTTGCAGAAATTTTCTTATTTTAATAAGATGGGTGTAGGAAGACTTTT